TAATATGTTATCAGAGTTTGTTACTCGGTTGAATATATATATACTTAAGTCGTTGTTTCTTGATAAAACAATCAATTGGATACCTTCCTAGCTCACCATAAACAGCCATTTTTGGTGTGAATTTGGAGAGACCAAGAATGAACCGACAAAATGAAAGATGGACATCCTTGGTTTGGTCTTAATGTAGCTTGTAATCAAACCATAGTACATCCATGATCAAACAAACCAGGGCATAGTCAAGCCTGGTTTTTACTCATCAAACTTTGCAAAATTTTGTTTTTTAATTCGGGTTAGATAATCAAATTTACTCAAATCCCCTTCAAATACCAATATATGTACATATATCCCTGTGCTTATAAGTATGCTAATTTTTGTTACGAGGGTTAAAATGGCTGGACAACAGGAAGTGCTCTACCTGCTGCCAAGCTTCAAATTATGATATCACATATTTAAACAATGTTTTTATCAATACTTTTCATTTATTTCCAGTTGACGTTTTTGATGGGCAGAAAAAAATAAAACAAGCGGGCGACAGAACAATCTTTTCTGTTCTGCAGTTTTACTCAAGAAATTGTACCTAGTGTTTAATAATAATAATAATAATAACTTTATTGCATCCTTAGAGATACAATGTTTCTATCAGTTAATAGCAATAAAGATTAGTTGTGATAACTACTACTACAAAAAGAAAGTTAGTTGTTAAAAAAAAAGATAAAGCAAGTGTTACATATCAAATGGTATTTTTATTTCTTGATTGAAATGCATTATGAATATAGTTGCCAATCTTTTTTATTATTACATCATCTTTTGAAGTCATCAAGAAATTAAATTTCTGGAGATCATCCTGGGTTTCTTGTGGAAATATAATGTCTTGTATGATTTGTTGGCGTATTACTTTATATTGTGGACATTTCATAACAAAGTGCAGTTCATCTTCTATTTCATTCTGTGAACATTGTTTGCAAATTCTATTTTCAGTAGGTATTTTTGGTTGCATATGTCTCCCTTTTTCTATTGCTAAATTGTGATTACTAGTTCGAAATTTTGTCATTGAAATTCTTTGTTTCAAATTTAGCACATCTAAGTATTTTTCAAAATTATAAGAGTCTTTGAATTTTTCATAAGTTCTCAGCTTTGTTTTTTCAGTTATATTTTTTCTCCAGAAATTTATGTATTTTTGTTTGACAACTTTGCCAATTTGCTGTATATGTTTTGTTAACCAATCATTCTGTTGTTCTCGTGAAAAGTTCATGTTGTTCATCATTTTTTGTATTGAAGAAAATGAGAAAACATTCTGAAAAGCCATCAAATTGCATTACACAAGATTCATTTGTGTGTGAACATTGTATTCAGTTCAGAGCGTAATTTTCACTGCATCTGATGTTAACATTTATCAAAGTGCTCAGATTAACCACACATTTTGTAAATAAAGCAGACCTCACTAACACATTAGAATGTACCCGTAACACTTTTGAACGATAATGAAAAAAAGAGGTGTGCATAATCTTATGGATCACATTGATTTTGTATTATAGTCCATTTTTTATTGTGAACAGAGAATCCTGCATGTGATTTTGTAACTTGATGACACCCTAAGATGCTGAAAACAAATCTATGGAAAGTGTCAGTGATGTCTAGCTATTTGAAAGATATGTTGATGTCTATTATCTTGTACTGTAACTGCTCCCATATTGCTTTACATGCCTTCAATGGCTTCAAACAAAATGTTGTCAACAATACAGCTGTGTTGTAGTTGTGGGTATGGCTCTGAAATTATTAAAATTATATCTTATTTCTTAGATGGATCCCAAAGGTGCCACCATTGTTGCTGGGTTTGACGATGGTGTCGTCAGAGTTCTAAATGTCTACAAGAAGGAACTCAAGAAGCCACAGTCTGTTGATCAAGTCGGTGCCCAGCTAGTTCTCAAGCAAGTGTTTAAACCACATTCCAAGAAAGTCAAAGCATTGGCAGTTGACTCCAAGGGTGAGCTGTTAGCTACAGGGGTGAGTGATCATTACTTTTTATTTTAATTGCACCCTTTGGGTCATCATAGATACCACCTGGGTACCCTCTAGGTTAATATGACACGCCACTGACATACAGAAGGTTTTTGTG